TCACTAAATCCCCATTAGACACCGTGTCAGATAAAGGCACTCACTGCCACAGCACCGCGCCAGCCCCGCCCCCAGGAGTGTCCCAGGCCCGGTGGGGGCTCCAGCCCAGCCCTCCCGGGGCAAACAGCCTATTTACACCCATCGCCCAACAGACGGCCACGCTCTTGTCCGCCGGCAGGACAGCACGGCGGCTCCGCATGCCTGGTCCCCGTGCCCAGAGTGTGCTGAGTGGATGACAGTCATTAAGCTCCAGGACCAGGATTTCCTCCCCAGCATCCCCGACGCCCACAGAGCCCCAAGTGACCCTCTGCCCCCGTGACCTTGACTCCTGACCTCGGTGTCGTTAGGGGCGGAAGCCTATGTCTACAGCCTGCCACAGAGGGACGCCTGCAGATCCCTCTGGGACTCGGGGTGGAGAGGTGGGGGGTGGGGGCGGTGAGGACGGACCCTCCCAGGCAGTGCGTCCAGCCTGGACGGCTCTAAAGCTGCCGGTCCAGTGTGACACCTTCGCTGCCAGATGGAGCTCCGCCGAAGGTGGTTTCTAAAGCCTCCTCACACCGAGAGAAGCCCATTCACCATCACTCGTGCGTGTCCTGTGACCAGAGCCACAGAACAAACTTACCACCACGTCTGCATCTGAGTCCGAGGTCAGGTTATCCAAACACCCCCAAGCTACACACACAAGGCTCCGCAGCAGGATGCGAGGCTACGGCGCTCAAGCCGAGACCCCGAGAGCCTCCCTCAGTGACCCCTCATCCCACAGGGAGAGGGCGGGCGGACGGGTAGGGCGTGAGGCGACGGCCCAGGTTACCAGCCCCAACAGCCCAGGCCCGGAATCCAGGCTGCCACATCTGGCCTGGCACCCTGGTCCCGTCCCGCCCCCGCCTCACCCACCTTCCTCCCCGGTGGGCTCGAACGCCACCCGCCCTCCGCCTCTCCCTGCCTAAAACTCGCCTTCGATGACGGGACGTCTGTCAGGAAGAGCTTCCTGGGCAGCGTGGGCTCAGCACGAGCCAGGCAGTGCTCTCCCTGTCCTTCCGGAGGGCAGAGGTCACATTGGCCAGCAGTAAGCAGCCTTCTGATTTATTTCCCCGTCCAAGCTCACCCAGGGCATTTTGGACATGGTGACGGCCAGGAGGGCCCCGTGAACCCGGCCTCCCCGAGCCCGGTGAGCTCCTGACCAGGGCCCGGCTGGGACGGCAGCTTTGCTTCCACAGTTGCTGGCAAAATGACTCAACAGTAACGTGGGTCGGCTTCCTGAAGAGCAGCTCAAAGCCTTTCACTGACCTCTGAACCCGGAGGGTCAGTGGCTTACAGCTGAGCAGAGCGGGAACTCTGCCTGAAGTCACAAAGCCAGGTGGGAGTCTTTGAACATGTCCAATCCTCTCCCCCTTCCTCTGGGGTGGATCCCCTGTCAGCTCGCAGTGAGGTCAGTCACGCCGAGCAGGGCAGTGCAGAGGGAGGGAGATGGGAGCTCGAGTCTGCGAAGTGAAGCGGCGGGTGTGCAGGGAGCCTGGCTGGGTCCCAGTGCCGAGTAACCGCACAGCATCCTGAGCCCAGCGCCCTCGGCCGCACGACAGGAGCACAGCACGGGGAGCCTGCTGTCGCGCGCAGCTCAGCTGCATCCAGGCGTCTGGTTAGAGACCGGGACGGAGGTCCCGTCAGACCTGCAGGCCGCGCTGGTCTGCGGAGCGGTCATTACATCCTACAGCCAGCGCTCAGAATGGAGGTTAAGAGCACTGAGCACTTAAAAGAGCCCAAGACACAGGCCAAGGCTCCTATGAGGAAACACCCAGAAAAACTGATTAACTTGCCCCGGGTCATACAGAGGCATCGGAATTCAACCCCAGACACAGGGCTCCTCTGTACCCCAGGGCCTGTCCTGCTGAAGTCCTAACTCCCCACAAGGCACCATGCTCACTCACTGGGATGTTCTAAGAAGCAATATCCTCATGTTATTTTAAAAGAATTCGCTGGTCACCATGCCCTCTCCTGTCGAGGGCTCAGACTCTGGGCTTCTGGGTGGCTGTCTGCTGCCAGCCACTGCCTTAGAAAGGAAACCTTAAACTCACCTCATAAACCTGCCCTCCCTTTACCCATTAACACCTTCTCCACGGGGAAACAGGAGAAACAGGACAGGGTATCAAGGAGGAGGCATCTTTTTGACTACCACCTCCACCATCTGCCTAGCGCCAGGGGTCCTCAAACTTTTTAAAGTGGGGGCCAGATCACGGTCCCTCAGAGAGCTGGAGGGCCGGACTATATGAACTACTCATTCCTACTGTAACACCTCGGCTGCGCTCACTGCCTAAAAAACCTGGCGGGCCGGATCAGACTCCTCTGCGGGCCGCATGTGGCCCATGGGCCGTAGTTTGAAGACCCCTGGTAGCCCCTCCCTATGCAGGCTCCCAAGCTGGAGTCAGCCAGGGCCATGGTTCTGGTTCCCCCAGAAATTACCAGGCAGAATGGCAAGTAGCAGAGCCACTAGGGAGCCCAAACCAAGAGGCCACACGGGGCCTGTGAGGATTAAACGTGATCAGTGTCAACCCTGCAGCCCAGGGCAAAGCGACTGTGTCATAGTCCCAGTGACACATCCGGGCCAGGCCTGGGCACAGGAAATTTCCCGAGTCGTCTTCCAAAGTGTGGAAGTCCAAGCAGCTGGGATCGGTTTAACACTTGTCCAGGTGGAAGTAACAGAAAAGCCAGGCTTTCAGGATTTCATAGGGGATAATTCTGGAAGCTTATACCCCACAACAAACCCGGGACATGAAATCTCAGGCTCATACAGACAGATTCAGATGGGACTGTGGCAAGAAGCTCCCCATTTCCTTTTGTACGGACCCAGCGGGGGATCCTGTGAAAATGCCGAGTTGGTCTCAAGGAATCTCAGTGGGGTCGGAGAGCTGACATTTCTAAGCACTCCCTCGAAGGACAAAGAGCCCACACTTTTGAGCAGCCAAGGTTTACACAGCGAGGAACAAATGCAAGGAGAGCATAACTGGATTTTAAAATCCACGGAGGTGTAGGGATCCTCCGTGAAGGTATGCGTGGAACCAGCCTACCTCGCAGGTGGGAGGCACGCAGGAAAGCAAAGGGCATTCTTTCTTCAAGCGCATCTGCAATCTACACCGTCTGGGCAGGTGTGAGGGCGCGTTAGGGATCCTGAAAGCAGTGCTTCTGGCAGAACCTTGGAAGCAGCTTGGTTCGGGGAGCAAGCACCCAGGGTATTTCCACTCCAGCAGCTGTGGTCAGGCGAGCTCTCGCGGCCTTTCTTACGTTTTGCCCATGGACCTCCTCTCTGTACATTACATTTGATGCTGTTTCTGTGGACAACTATAATTTATCTGAACGTTCACCAACAGTCAGTTATAGAGAATCCCGAAGTAGAAAGATGGATGTGGTTGTCGGGTAAGGAGGGACCTTATATTGACTAACCCGTCTCAGTGTGTGTGTGTGGGGGGGGGGAGGATGGGTCACACAGACAGGGCTTGGCAGTGATAGGGTCAGAGATTAAATCCCACCTCTTCTTTGGATCAGAAGTGCCAGCACACAAGAGCCTCCACAGGACATTCCCCAAGACCAAGTGGGAGGTGATCTGACCCAGCTGCTCTTCCCCAGGAACACATCTGCCTGCAGGAGACAGGCCTGCCTTGCACACTGGCTGGGAATACCAGGGATGTTTATTGCCATTCCTGTCCTGACCTCTGACAGCTGGGTTTATGCTCAAACTACAGACACGGCAGTCCGGGAGTGATGTCAGGCGCTAACATCCAGCTGCCAGAGAGAAATGCTGAGTGCGCACACTGCCCAGCGCGGAAGGGATTTCCTCCCCGCAGCACCGCTAATGGGAGAGGTGAGCGCTGACAAGAAATTCCAGGGCCAGACCCCATAATTCACGCGCACAGTCCCAGGCTGCTTCCCGCTCCCCGCCCTCCTGCAGCCTTGGGCGCTCACTGCTGAGCTCCCTGAGCGGGCAGGACCTCGCCCCTGGGAAGAAGGCCACTCAGCAAACTTCTGGAGGAGGGCAGCCGGCTCTTCCCCATTGTCCCCTGGGGGAGGAAGTGAGCTCTCCGCAGGCACCTTCCTGGGCCAGAGCACGCCTGACTTCCAGGCCAGCATTGCAGAGCCGGCTCCATCACCTCAGGCCGCTGTGTCCTGTCAGGTCCCATCCCAGAGGGCACCAGAGGCCGAGGGAGGTCACACTCACCAGCCAAGGTGGATCTGCACTGTAGCCAGTGGCCTGGGAGGCTGGACTCTCCCGGGAACAGGCCAGCCTTCCCAGCCCCTTGGTCCTCTGCCAACCTTGTCCACTGCCTGACAGCTGACTCCCACTGTCCCCTGAACACGTGGCGACAAGCGGCAGCTACTTCCTGAGCCATAAGCCAATGCTCAACATGCCAAGTTTTTGTTAAGATGCCCAATACCTGCAGATAACAAGTTAGCAAGTAAAACATGCTTTTAACTGACTTTAGCAAACTCATCTTGGCATGGAAAAAAGAAACCCGAGCCCCATTTCACCCCTGGCCTGCATCAAGGGAATGTAAGAAGGGCTTGGCATTTTTTGAGAAAAGGAAAAGGAAAACGCCAAATCTTGCTGAGACATGGGAACCCTTGAGCAGTTTCTCAGGAGGGATTCGCCGCGTGTCAGGGACAAGTTGGGGCTCAATGCGCCCCTGAGCTGCCAGCAGACCCATCGCTCCACTGTGCCCGCCAGGTCTCCTGCGGGAGGGCACGCACCTCCGCCTGAAGCTGGAGGTCCGCTCGCGAAGGAGGGTTCGGCGCCGCTTTTTAAGGGGCTCCTGCGACTCCCAGCTCTGCGCCTGCGGCGTGGCCGTGCGCTTCTGCTCTGCGGCTCCCAACTCAGGCTGGGGGCGCTCCCACCCCCGCGTGCCCCGTGGATGGAATCGGGGCCAGAAGCGGGGGACCGGCGGCTCGGGGAGCGGGGAGGACCGGGCACCGCGGCCCGGCGCCGGCGGGGGGCACGGAGCGCCCGCACTCACCGGGACCGCTGCAGCTGCTCCAGGGCGCTGGCGCCGCACGCCGGGCCCTCCAGGGCGCACAGGGGCTGCGAGGTCGGCCTGGCGAAGGCGACGGGCAGGATCCCCGGAGTGAACGAGCCGAGGCGGCTCCGGCTGCCGCCGCCCCCCGGGGTCGCGGGGCCCAGGAAGGCGGCCACGGGCCCCTGCGCGCCCGCGAAGGCGTCGTCCTCCTCGGGCTCCTCCGGCCCGTCGGGCGCCGGCGCGCGGGCGGCGGGGCTGGGCAGCGCGGCGGGGCCGCCGGGGGCGGGGGGCGGCGGGACGGGCTGCGGAAGGCAGGGCCCCGGTCCGGCCTCCGGCGGCGCCGTGCCCGCCGCGGCGAGCGGGCTGAGCCGGCCCCGGGCGCCGCGGTCCTCGCCACCGCCCTCCTCGTCCTGCAGCGGCGGCCGCCCGTCCAGCGAGATGCGGGTGAGGAAGGAGAGGGCGGCGCGGCGGCGCCGCGGGTCCACGCGCGGCTTCCGGGGCTCCGGCGGCCGGGCCGGCGCGGCGGCCGCGGCCGCGGGCGGGGGCGGGGGCGGCGGCTGCGCTCCGCCGGCGCCCGGGGCGTCGGTGCTGCAGGCGGCGGGGCCGGGGGTGGCGGCGGCCGCCATGGTGCCCGAGGCGGCGGTCTGTCCGCGGGGAGTCTGTCCGCGGCCCCGGCTAAGCGGCGGGCGCGAGCGGCGGCCCGGGCTGGGCAGGGCGCGGGGCGCGGGCGGCGTGCGCGGCGGCCCGGCCCCCCCGCGGGCGGCCCATGCCGGCCCCTGGCGGCCCACGCGCGGCTCCTGGCTCCTGGCTGCCGGCTCCCGGCTGCCGGCCGCGGGCCCGGGCGGCCGGTCGGTGCGCCGCTCCTCCCGCGCTCCCGGCCGCGGGCCCGAGTCCGTATTTATAGGCGCGCGCCCCACGCCGCGCTCCGAGCGCCCCGCTCCGGCGCTCAGTGTCACGTGCGGCGGGACCTGCGGGAAAACAAAGCCGCGGGCGGCGGGCGGCGGAGGCCGCGGGGGGGTGGGGGGAGGAGGAAGAGAAAGTGAGCGGGTGGCGGGCGGGACCCGCCCGGACGTCCGCGCTTCCCGGGAGGGTGGTGGCTCCCGGGACTCGCGGGACCAGGGAGGGCGGCGAGGACACTCCGGGGCGCGCGCATCCCGGGGTTCGGGTGCGAGCAGAGCCCTCAGTCGCGGGGTGAGCAGGCCCCCGGAGCTGGGTCTGCAGGACAGTGACTGGGAGCAGCTCCAGGCTTGGCCCTTGGACTTTTAACCGGAGCCTGCGCTGCCCGGGGCCCGGGGAAACCCGTGGTTATTCCTGTTACCGGGGCGGGTCCACGGCCCACGGACTGCCCCACCTTGAACGGGAGCTAAACACCCTGAGGCTGGGCACACTCACCCTCGGGAGGATGCAGCCCGGAGTAAGACACACACACACACACACACACACACACACACACACCCCTTTGGCTGCACTGAGGGCACGGCCCACTGATGGCTGTCACTTCCCACCTCTCACAAAGGCCAGCAGGAACCTCTAGTCCTGAAAGTACAGTCAGAGGGGACCAGGATGGCCTTGCACACCTTCACCTTTTGAGCATCATGATCTCATTCTTCCTAGATAGACTGGGACCAGCATGTCTTTCCTGTCTTTCACTTGATGACACTCATTTGGCACCTGCCCTGTCTTCTGTGAGGATGGGTTCCCGCTCAGAGTTGCAGCTCTGGATCCGGGAAGAATCCCGGAAAGCAGTACCCTAGCGCCCCCTCCCCGCCCCCCCCACACACACAGACCAAACAGGTAAGTGCCTGCCCTGCGGGAGGAGGGATGAAAAGGGGGGGTGGGGTAAGGGGAACAGAGCTGTGTGGAGGGAGCAGGTCTCCCTAAGTGGTTCGGGTATCACACTCAGTGAAGCTCTGCGACATGGAAGAAACCTCTCTGCACTTTTCTGAGGGAGAAGCAATATGTTTGAGTTCAACGGATTAATTTAACCAAAGGTTTAAATTGAGCCCCGGGGCTAATGGGTAACTGCATGGAAATTCCACTCCGTGTCCAGGTCAGGGGAGTAAGCTGAGTAAAGAGTAAAGACACTCTGTCCAGACATGTGCGCCAACCTGGAGGACAGGCGTGGGGGAGGCTCAGGTGACATCTGCTTGGACAAATGTGGCACATGGCCATGTACATGAACAATTGCTCATATTTTATTTTATGCCATTTTTAGGCCTTTTGTGAGAGGGAAGCCGTGTCTATTTATAGTAGCCTCACAGCAGCTAAGCCAAAGCTTAAGGACCAGCTGTGTGAAACTTCATTAGGATTTTAATTACTTTAACTATCTAGAAACTCCCAAGCTGCTTTATTACAATAACTCACTTTCCATGACCATGGCCTGGTCTGCTGGCACAGTGTGCACGAATGGCACAAACGGGGCACATATAAACACAAACCTATCTCTCTATCTATCTATATTCAATTTTTTACAGAGAGGAAGAGAGAGGGATAGAGAGTTAGAAACATCGATGAGAGAGAATCATCGATCAGCTGCCTCTTGCACACTCCCCACTAGGGATGTGTCCACAACCAAGGTACATGCCCTTGACCGGAATTGAACCTGGGACCCTTCAGTCCGCAGGCCTACGTTCTATCCACTGAGCCAAACCAGTTTCGGCTCGCAAACCTATCTTTTAAATTACGATAGTGACATATGTTCGTGGCAGAACATTTTGAGAATAAGATAAGCAAGGTAGGAAAAAAGCATCACTAACAATCTCATTTCTTATGAAAATAACTGTTAAACTTTTGATTTTTGTCTTGTGTGAGTTTTTTTTTTAAATTTGTCTTTATTGTTGAAAGTATTACAGATACTTTTCTCCTTTTTCCCCCAATAGCCACTCTTAGCCCACCTCCACCCCTACCCCATGCCCTTTGTTGTTTTTTAAACAGAAACAAAAAGCAGGCTGTTTGTGTGTTGTGATTGTTAGCTTGCTGTGTTGTGATCATCTTTCCATGTAGAATATTTTCTACAGCATAATTCGAATGACTGCATGATGTTTAATTGGACACAGAGAGTAAATCATTAGGCCTGTGCCAAACATTAAATATTCAGGTTGTTTCCACTTTTGCTGATATAGGCTGATGACATCCCTGTTTTTCTAAATCTTGCTGCCGCTCAGCGTTGGTTTTTTAGGTTACATAGGCACATCCTGTTGAAGGCTTTCCACCTAGAAAAGTTCCAGTCTGACTTCCCTCCCTCTTACCAGCATTGGGCATTATTTTTTTTCAGAAATATCCATTTCTTGCCTTAACCAGTTTGGCTCAGTTAGAGCGTCAGCCTGCAGACTGCAAGGTCCCAGGTTCAATTCCGGTCAAGGGCATGTATCTTGGTTGCGGGCACATCCTCACTAGGAGGTGTGCAGGAGGCAGCTGATTGATGTTTCTCTCTCATTGATGTTTCTAACTCTCTATTCCTCTCCCTTCCTCTCTGTAGAAAAATCAATAAAATATATATTTTTAAAAAGAACTATCCATTTCTTTGCTCATTCAATACAACTCTGCCCATTTTAAATGCCAAGCGTGCAAACTAATTTAGAATATTTATTAAACCATCAAACAAGAATCAATAACTACTTTGCCTCCACATTGCTCATGTGAGCCTCTTATAGGGATATGGCAGGTCAATTTACTGTTCACCTACTGTGTGCCAGCCACAGAATATTTCTAATCCATGGCCACCCTGTAGATGGGATAGATTACATCAATATTTTATAGACGAGGCTCAGAAAAAAATTAATAATTTCCCCAAGGTAACCTAGTTCTTAAGGTGGTTGGGCCAGCAAGACCAAAACATGTTCTAGCGCTCTCTGCTGGTGAGGATGTTTTATGGGAGGGGGCCAACTCTAGATGTAATCTTATATTTGTAGTAGTGGCCTAGTGCATGAATTTTTGCACATTGAGAGGAAAGTAGAAGAAATATTTTAATATCACTATTCACCCTTTCTCTATAATAGAAGTGTCAACCAAATTCACCATCAACAATGACAGATGGAAACACGCATGCAGTTGGCACCAGTGAGAGCTTTATATGTATCGTGCATGCACAAGTCAACTTAGCCTTTTATGTATATAGAACAAACTTGCTTAACTAGATCTGCTTTGTGATTTAGCTAAACTTTTTTGCAGCCCAATGGAGCACCCCAACTTCTCTTTCAGGTAATTGTCAGCAACACAGCAGAAAATATCAACATGAAGCAGGTTATTATTGTAGACCACGGAGGGAGAACAAAGGGTAAAATATTTAACTGCAGCAGTGTTTGACTATATTCTGTGCAGGGAGAAAACAAGGTCCACCATTTCATACTTCTTTTCAGTCGGGTCAAGTTTCTAAGCTTTCTAAATCTCTGTTTCCTGGCTAATGAAAAGAAAATAGGATTCCACCGAGTCTCCTATCTACTTCTCCAGGACTTCTGTGAGATCAAATGAGATGAGGCATGTGAAAACACTTCACAGACATTTGGTTGAAGTGTGAAATGTTTGCACCTGGCTATAAAGCAAGTCGGTTTCCTGGGCTGAAGAAACTGCAAGGAGGCTAGGCCCCACTAGGGAGAGGAAGCCAGGCATTGCTACATGACATCATTACCTGGACTGACACTTAGCACATTAGCCTAGTCTTTTATATATATAGATTTCAGCATCAACTATAATGGAAATAATAAAAGCATTAAAGCAAGAGGATTTGGGTGTTAAAACAATCTCTCAACTTCTCCACCAGTTTCCTCTGTGGGTTATTCTGAGGTACAAATGAGACTGAATGAGAAGCATTTAAAAGCCTTAAAGTACTTTTTAAAAATGTCTTTTTATTTAAACCATCTTAATCTACTTACTTTATCAATTATTCCAGATTTACTTATTTTTCACGTAGTTACTGACCAACTCCGAGCAGCTTCCACGACACAGCGCCGCCTTGCCGCAAAAGGCATAAAAGAGTGGCCTTTAGCCCTGGAGCCCTGGACAGTGAAAACAGTGGAAAACAGAAGCTCGGGTGATGTTTAAATAAAAACGCAAGGCAGACTCGGATTAAGTGGGCAATCTACAATAGTTGGGACTATAAATGTTACCAAAATGTAAAACAGGAGCTCTATTGGATGTAAGGCCTGAGGGGAGAGCTGCCCTGGGCAATAAACAAGGGAAGGAGGGCCCACTTCGGGAGAGGAAATTCTACACTTCCTCCTTGGTTGCAGGCCTAGGAGACTAGACCTTAAACTGTAATTCCTTTTGATCAGCCAAGGTTTCTATTTCCAATTACTTTCATATTGACCCTTTGAAGCACCCATTCTGAAGACTTTTTTTTTTTTTTGCATGCACGAGCTGTTTTGATGGACATATACAAGGGTTAATTTCAAAAAGAAAGAAAGAAAAAGAACCTGCAAGTAATGGCTGACTTGCAAACAACCCTCACAGACGGTGAAGACTGACGTTAGCGGAGGTGTGACAGTGGCTGTCACTCTAACAGAAGCCGTCTGGCCGTGGGAAACAAGCTGTGGTGTGACCTCTGGGGCCCTGTGTTGGCCCTGCTGCCTGCACGGGCTTCAGATGAAGGTGCCATTAGACTGCACAACAGGCTGTCCTAGAGGGCTCGGACTTCCATATAAAAAGCATTGTTTTATCGGGGTTGTGTTTGTTCAGGTCATTCTCACATCAGGATGGGGTGGATGTGGCCACATTTGGGAGCACATCACCATTTTGCCCACCCCTGGGAAGTTCAGCTGGACTAACTGGTGGTTCATGGCCGAGACATCTCACAGGAAGGGAAATGTGTGTGCCTGGCTTGAAGGGAGGAGAAATAAGAGAGAGGGGCACTCTTAAGCTGCTGGTGGAGTGGAGGATGAAACAACCTTTCTGGAAAGTCATTGGCAAAACACCAAGAGCCCAAAAAAGTTCATGACAGAGTATGAGCTTTGGAGTCAGGCTGGCCAGGTTACATTTTGGCCCCACTATCATGGCTTTGAGTGTGTCGGTGGACATGTTACTTATTTGTGCTTCAGTTTTGTCATCTTTGAAATGGGAGTGAAAATACCTACCTTATAGCATTGTTAGGAGAATTCAGTGCAATAAGTGCTTGAAAGCACTCAAGAATGTAGTTGCGTAATGAC